CATATCATTTGTGTAACATATGAGAGCTTGGATACACGCTGTCACATGAATGAATGCACTGTGCTTCTATCATGCGTGCTGCCTCTAGATGGTAATTTACTTGTGTGTATAATGTGTGTATATATATATATACAGTTGCAAGAAAAAGTATGTGAACCCCTTGGGATTCCGTGGAGTTTTGCATGAATTGGGCATAAAATGTGCTACTGAACGTCATCTAAGTCACAACAATAGAAGAACACAGTCTGCTGTACATAATACTACACAAACATTAGATGTTGCCATGGTTTAATTGCACATAACATGTAAACATTCACAGTGCAGGGAGGAAAAAGTATGTGAACCTTTGGACTTAATAACTGGTTGACCCTCTTTGGCAGCAATAACCTCAAACCAAACGTTTCCTGTAGTTGCAGATCAGACCTGCACAACGATCTGGAGTCATTTTGGACCACTCCTCTTCACAAAACTGTTTCAGTGTAGCAATATTCTTGGGATTGTCTGGTGTGAATCGCTCTCTTAAGGTCATGCCACACAATTTCAATCGGGTTGAGGTCAGGACTCTGACTGGGCCACTCCAGAAGGCGTATTCTGTGCTGTTGCAGCCATTGTTTTGTTAAATTACTTGTATGCTTTGGGTCATTGTTCTGTTGCATCACCCATCCTCTGCGGAGCTGCAGTTGGCGGACAGATGGTTGTACGTTTTCCTGCAAAATGTCTTGATAAACGCTGGAATTCATTTTCCCATCAATGACAACAATCCGTCCAGGCCCTGAGGCAGCAAAGCAGCCCCAAACCATGATGCTCCCTCCGCCATGTTTCACAGTGGGGATGAGGTTTTGATGTTGGTGTGCTGTGCCTTTTTTTTCTCCACACATAGTGTTGTGTGTTCTTCCCAAACAACTCAATCTTGGTTTCATCTGTCCACAGTATATTTTGCCAGTAGTGCTGTGGAACATCCAGGTGCTCTTTTGCAAACTTCAAACGTGCTGCAATCTTCTTTTTGGACAGCAATGGCTTCCTCCGTGGTGTCCTCCCATGTACTCCATTCTTGTTTAATGTTTTCCTTATTGTAGATGCGTCAACACAAATGTTAGCATGTGCCAGAGATTTATGTAGGTCTTTAGCTGACACTCTGGGATTCTTCTTTACCTCATGCAGCATTCTGCGCTGTGCTCTTGCAGTCATTTTTACAAGACGACCACACCTAGAGAGAGTAGCAACAGTGCTAAACTTTCTCCATTTTAGACAGTCTGTCTTACCGTGGACACATGAACATCAAGGCTCAAGGAGATACTTTTGTAACCCTTTCCAGCTTCATGCAAGTCAACAATTCTTGATCGTAGGTCTTCTGAGAGCTCTTTTCTGCGAGGCATGGTTCACATCAGACAGTGCTTCTTGAAACCAGTAAACCCAAAACAGGTGTGTGTTTTTTAAGGGCAGGACAGCTGTCAGTAACACATCCAATATCATCCCACTGATTGGAGTCAAGGTTGGCTCACACCTGGCTCCAATTAGCTCTGGGAGAAGTCATTAAGCTAGGGCCTCACATACTTTTTCCTCCCTGCACTGTGAATGTTTACATGTTATGTGCAATTAAACCATGGCAACATCTAATGTTTGTGTAGTATTATGTTCAGCAGACTGTGTTCTTCTATTGTTGTGACTTAGATGACGTTCAGAGCACATTTTATGCTCAATTCATACAAAACTCCACGTAATCCTAAGGGGTTCACATACTTTTTCTTGCAACTGTATATGTATATATATATATATATATATATATATATATTTTACATTACCTTGTCTATTCATTGTTTTTGACCTGAGGAAGGACAGAATTTACCCAGAAGCTTGTATTTGTGTGGGAGTGCTGCAACCACAGACTTTATTCTTCAGTATATTTTAGCTGTTGGGGTTGGCCTTACTGCAAAGCATCTACCACAAACATTGCTTATGCAGTCCACCCTTCTAATTATACTAAATATACATTTATATTTTCAGTGCTTCCCTGCAATAAATGCACTTTTTCCTATGTTTTATGTCTTTAAAAACAGTGCAGGTGCTAAAACCTATATTTCTGCCAAAAATCCAAGGAGCTCCCAACGTTCTGAAGAGAGCTGATAACACTACATTGAAATCTCCACCAATGTTATTTAGTGTTACTAAATAGTACAAACAGAATTAGTAAGAGTTGCACTCAATTTGTGAAGCCAGAGGGTCATGTAAGGAGCAACAGATGTAATTATTTGCAGTAAAACATAGAAAAGGTCAGGTTTAACATACTACACATGTTGATCATATTTTGCCAGCCCAATCGAACCTTGTGGTAAATGTTCATCTTGCAGTTTGGATAGCTTACATAAGTTAAAACCATATGTGCAGTCATCAATATGGGATTCACATCTGGCATCTTCTGACCATGTTTTAAATTATCTTACTGCAGATGTTATAGCTTAAATGGTACACTATTGCAGGTGGCTGTAAAATCCAGTTTTATGCTGCCAGGTTTGAAAAGCTGTGGAAGATGTTTTAGGTAATGATAAAAATTCTAAATATAAACTGCAAATTCAGCCCCCAGGGATTAATTTTGAGCAGGTACAAATGAATGAAAACATCCACTTGTTACTTAAATCAAAAATCAGCCGAGGATTTCAGTTAAATTTTACTTTGCCTTTTGTTATTACTAATTTTATGAGCTTTATTTATTAGTTTTTAGAAGGTTTATCAAGTCTCTCCATGAAGACAGAAGAACCTTGCTGTGAGCCAATGCAACAAATTGAGACACTGGTGAAACCACAGAGCACAGTACCTGCATGAAATGGATTTCAGTTACAACAAATCTGGCTGTGGCTGTAATTTTCAAGTGTTGGCTACAAAATTAAAGAAGGTGGTTGTGATCAACACAGAGCTTTTTCCTTTAGGGCAAATAGACCAGATTTGTATAATTTCCCAGTGATGCCGCCTGTTAATAATACAATATTATGTTGCATTACAATGGAATCTGCCATATCATTATTAAAAGTATATGGAAACACTTTCCCTATTTTACTTTATACATTGTGGTACAGCTGGTAAGTGCATAACATATTATTAAAGTGGAACTTTAATGGCAGCATTCTAATTAATGGCCCTGTTGTCCCAAAAAACACATACCAAATTATGGGTGTTCCTGAGGGAGTGGCAGAGCCCCCTCCTACTCTGTGAGTGATCTGTTACTATTATGAATTAACAATCAGCACTGCTTGTTTATTCATAATAGTAAAATATCACTCAGGGCTGCAGCTCTGTGTAATGTATCTGCCGATATCTTCTGTGAGTGATCTTTTACTATTCAAACAGTGTTGATCATTCATTCATATTAGTGACAGATCACTCAGCACTGCAGCTTCATAATGACAGATCACTTTTACCCATGCACAGTTCTTCCGATTGATCACACAATGCTTTCTGAGCTTTCACTTTTATGAATGAGCAACCATTGGTTTCAGGACCTATGCCTTGTATAACACTACCCAACTTCACTGATCACTGGTTCATAAACCTGAGAGATGACAGTGCACTGAAGTCCTGTGTGATCCGTCAGCCAAGCTGTGTATGTTTAAAAGTAGCCGCTAATAGACACATACCAGGGGCAGACTGACCATTTGGAAACTTGGGCTCTGCCCGAGGGCCCGGGGTCAGTAGGGGGCCCCATGAGATGCCCCTGGTACCTTTTTCATAGGCTTTTTTGAGTTTGGGCAAGGACACAGGGGCCCCATGATCCCCTATTGCCCGGGGGCCCCATGAGTTGTCAGTGTGCCCCTGACACATACTCAGGGGAAAGTGAAGGAGTTAATGAACTAGCCACATGGAGTGGTAGGAGTAGGAAGAAGGGGTTAATGTTCAACTGTGCAGGATAAGAGAGGTAAAAAGTTAATATACAGGTCACATGGCAACAGCATTGGTGCTAGTAAGTGTAGGAGAGAGAAAGAGCATGAAAGGCTATTAAAAAGATCCCTGTGTCACTGAGACTGAATGAATAAATCTGCAGCTGCTGATCCATTCATCCTGTGTCCATTCACAAATTCTCATTCTCTCTCCTTCCCCTGTTCTAAGGGGAAGGGAGCAATGAACACTGTAAATATTATCATGTAATCACTGCGATGACCAATCACATTGATCAGTTCAGCTGGGTACAGTGTCTCTGTGCTTCCAGCTGTCTAATGACAGCTCAGGCCACAGTGATCACTGGGTGGATAGGCTGCCCGAAGGCTATTTATCCAGTGAAAGGTAAATAAAGATCTGCCAATTTGCCGTTGAAAAACGCACCACATTAGCTAAATGTTTTAAAGAAGGTAGTTAAAAAACATATTTTAAAATATTGTTTCCACAGTTACTCGTTAAATTTCAACAATTTCAAAATCTGATGCAGCTCTGCATAGAAATCAATTTACAGGGTTTTTTTGTCAAAGCATAAAGGATGAGTTCACTTTTGGGAATATGTTCTACCCATTTTTAGGGTGGAACATATAACATGTTCCTATAGCTGCAGACGCACCCTGTACTATCTGTCACATTTGAAAACAACGCGGCTGTGAGGCAGCCTTAGTGGCTTTCGGCTTGTAGTTTTCAATTAACTAGTTCATTGACACTTCCTGTCAGAATGTCTGCTTACTCGTACATCCCGTATGGCAAGCATATATTCTGAAAGGTCTACTGATCGTTGGTTCAATGCTTTCCAGGCTCCTGCAGACAAAAATAATAAATGCACATTTTTTTTTACCTGAAAAAAAATGTGTATTTATTACTGTATTTTTCGCTCAATAAGACGCACATTTTTCCCCCCCCCCAAAAAAAATGGGGGGAAATGTCTGTGCGTCTTATAGAGCGGCTGGCCCGCTATTCCCCCCCATCGCCACTGCTGTGTTAGAATACCGGGCCAGCCGCTCGGTTCTTCTGAAGAAGAGTGGAGGAGTCCAAATCAGCAGTGCAGCAAACTTTTAAAATACAGCCACTTACCTGTTCCTCGGTCCACCGGTGTCCTCACCACTTCTGGTTTCACCAGCTTGCAGCTTCACAGCTGGGTACCCACTGTGCATGCGCGAGAAGCGCTGCACTTTGTGAATGGCCCCGTAGTCTTCTGGGACCTGTCCCAGAAGACTATGGGGAGGGAGGACAACTTCCACTTTCGATCACCTAGGCGATCGCAGCAGAAGTGGGAGCAGGTACCTGTCGATTCGGGTACTTGCTCCCCAAAGGTCTGCAGTCTCTGGTCATCTCCTGTACTATGTCCGCAGTCTCTGGTCCTCCTGTACTATGTCTGCAGTCTCTGGTCATGTAGTGTCCATCTCTGGCCATCTCCTGTACTATGTCCGCAGTCTCTGGTCATCTCCTGTACTATGTCTGCAGTCTCTGGTCTCTCCTGTAGTCCGCAGTCTCTGGTACTTCTGTCTATGTCTGCAGTCTCTGGTCATCTCCTGTACTATGTCTGCAGTCTCTGGTCATCTCCTGTACTATGTCTGCAGTCTCTGGTCATCTCCTATACTATGTCCGCAGTCTCTGGTCATCTCCTGTACTATGTCTGCAGTCTCTGGCCATCTCCTGTACTATTTCTGCAGTCTATGGTCATCTCCTGTACTATGTCCGCAGTCTCTGGTCATCTCCTGTACTATGTCTGCAGTCTCTGGTCATCTCCTGTACTATGTCTGCAGTCTCTGATCATCTCCTGTAGTACATCCGCAGTCTCTGGTCATTTCCTGTACTATGTCTGCAGTCTATTGGTTCAGAATATTTTTTTCTTGTTTTTTGTTAAAACCTAGGTACGTCTTATGGAGCGAAAAATACAGTATTTTTATTAAAAAAGGTGAATTTATCCTTTAATTGCACAAGCTGAAATTAGAAACTGATTGTCTACCATTCATAGCTGCACCAGATTTTGCACGCATCAGTTTTAGTAAATCAACCCCATAGTGTTGCTCATAGTAGATATAAGTGATAATCACATTTAACCTTTTTTTTTTTTTTTAATGGTGTACTGTGAAAAATCTATTTTTTTTTTTACTTATATCTGAAAAAGCATGGGGTTTATGGTAGTAATAAAATACTCAATTTTTCCAATTTGAAAAAAGATTGGTAAATAGACCAACAGTCAGAATATTAAGACAGAACCACTTTTGCGGTTTGCAACTCTGTATAGAAAGCTAGGAAGACTTGTCAAGTGCTTCTTTGGATAGCAAGCAGCAAAGTGCCAAACTGTAGTGTATTATTAAAATAAAGCCATTAATTAGGCTAACAAGACGGCTGTCCTACTGAGCTCTCTTTCTGAAAATGTTAGTTGCCTGGCTGTCATTCTGACATTCTTGTATTAATACTTTGAGTTATTGACTTGAAATAAGTCTTCCCTTCAAGTATAAGGTCGTAGAATTCAGGGGTGTCAAACTGGCGGCCCTCCAGCTGTTTCCAAACTACAAGTCCAATGAGGCATTGCAAGGCTGACAGTTACAGGAATGACTCCCAAAGGCAGAGACATGATGGGACTTGTAGTTTCGCAACAGCTGGAGGGCCGCCAGTTTGACACCCCTATTGTAGATGGACAGACACATGCTTTTCCTGAGCTACTGGTAACATTATTTAGATAGTAGTTTAATTGTGATTGCATACTTACGTAACATATTAGGAGGCAATTGCAAAAGAAATATTGCCTGCATGTAATTTGGATAACATCTTACTATTAGGCTTGCCTTTCAAAAATATATTTATGTTTCTACATCTTCTAACTAGATCTTTGCTTTTTTTTTCAGTATATTGACCTTGAATGGCTGGTTGTCTATCTATAAAGCAAATAATAGGTGGAAAGTCAGGGCTTTCATAATATATTGAGAAAGCTCACATTTTTAGCATAGGCTCTGTATGCTGAACTGTAGTGTTTTGCAGCTTAATATATGCTCTGTTTATGTTTTTATGTTTGCAGAAGCAGCAGCATCTTCAGTGCCACCAGTCCTAAAAGGCACATGTTTATCAATGGATGGAAGACGACATGAAAATGAAGAGAGCTGGCATGATGGATGCCGTGAATGCTATTGTCACAATGGACGGGAGATGTGTGCATTAATAACCTGCCCAGTTCCCAGCTGTGTCATCAACCCTACTTTACTTCCTGGACAATGCTGTCCATCTTGTTCAGGTAAACATACACCAGCATGGACTAATTTGGTGGTACATCTCACTGACCCCTACATCTCATTGAAACATTATTTTTTACTCCTAAAAAGTGATGACATTTTAAGGCAATTGTCTAATGTATACCTGCATGAAAAGATAAATGATTGCCTTTTCTGCAAAGATATTCTAAAATGACCTGGACAGATTTGTTGGTACCCCCATAAAAGAAACTGTTTTCTGTGATTGGTATCACACGTCTTCAGTCTATATGAAAAATTGGTGAAGCGCTATGTATAAATAAAAAATCAAATACAAGACATAAATATATCATACTGTGTGCAAATCATTGAAAGTGCAAAAACCGTGCTGACACAATCAATAGTGCTCTGTGATAAATAATGAAAAATCATATATAACACATAAAGGATTAACCCCTAGGTAAAAACCACTGAGGTTAATAAGTGATATTAATAGTGATCCCTAGAAGAGAGAAAATAATATATAGTGTTACTTACCCAGATAAAGTGTATATATATTGATACTAAAAAACACACAATACATATGTAAAAAGTCCATACATAAACATCTGTGATATTCTGAAAAAATTTAGTCCATGCAAGTGATACAGTGCCAAGGTGATCTTCACTCTGGTGTAAAACAATCCTCAAACGGCGACAGAGTGAAGATCACCTTGGCACTGTATCACTTGCATGGACTAATTTTGTTCGGAATATCACAGATGTTTATTTATGTATGGACTTTTTACATTATGTATTGTGTGTTTTTTAGTATCAATATATACAGTGGGGATCGAAAGTTTGGGCACCCCAGCTAAAAATGTGTAGTAATGTGCATAAAGAAGCCAAGGAAAGATAGAAAATCTCCAAAAGGCATCAAATTACAGATTAGACATTCTTATAATATGTCAACAAAAGTTAGATTTTATTTCCATCATTTACACTTTCAAAATAACAGAAACAAAAAAATGGCGTCTGCAAAAGTTTGGGCACCCTGCAGAATTTATAGCATGCACTGCCCCCTTTGCAAAGCTGAGACCTGCCAGTGTCATGGATTGTTCTCAATCATCGTCTGGGAAGACCAGGTGATGTCAATCTCAAAGGTTTTAAATGCCCAGACTCATCTGACCTTGCCCCAACAATCAGCACCATGGGTTCTTCTAAGCAGTTGTCTAGAAAACTGAAACTGAAAATAGTTGATGCTCACAAAGCTGGAGAAGGCTATAAGAAGATAGCAAAGCATTTTCAAATGTCAATATCCTCTGTTCGGAATGTAATTAAGAAATGGCAGTCATCAGGAACAGTGGAAGTTAAAGCAAGATCTGGAAGACCAAGAAAAATATCAGACAGAACAGCTCGCAGGATTGTGAGAAAAACAATTCAAAACCCACGTTTGACTGCACGATCCCTCCAGAAAGATCTGGCAGACACTGGAGTTGTGGTACACTATTCTACTATAAAGAGATACTTTTACAAATATGCTCTTCGTGGAAGAGTCATCAGAAGAAAACCTCTTCTACGTCCTCACCACAAAAATCATCGTTTGAACTTTGCAAATGAACATATAGACAAGCCTGATGCATTTTGGAAACAAGTTCTGTGGACCGATGAGGTTAAAATTGAACTTTTTGGCCGGAATGAGCAAAGGTACGTTTGGAGAAGAAGGGGCACAGAATTTAATGAAAAGAACCTCTGTCCAACTGTTAAGCATGGGGTTGGATCAATCATGCTTTGGGGTTGTGTTGCAGCCAGTGGCACAGAGAACATCTCACGAGTAGAAGGAAAAATGGATTCAATAAAATTTCAGCAAATTTTGGATGGTAACTTGATGCCATCTGTGAAAAAGCTGAAGTTAAAGAGAGGATGGCTTCTACAAATGGATAATGATCCTAAACACACCTCAAAATCCATAGGGGATTACATCAAGAGGCGTAAACTGAAGGTTTTGCCATGGCCTTCACAATCTCCTGACCCAACATAATTGAAAATCTATGGATAGACCTTAAAAGAGCAGTGCGTGACAGACAGCCCAGAAATCTCAAAGAACTGGAAGACTTTTGTAAGGAAGAATGGGCAAAGATACCTCAAACAAGAATTGAAAGACTCTTGGCTGGCTACAAAAAGCGTTTACAAGCTGTGATACTTGCCAAAGGGGGCAGTACAAGATATTAACTCTGCAGGGTGCCCAAACTTTTGCAGACGCCATTTTTTTGTTTTCTGTTATTTTGAAAGTGTAAATGATGGAAATAAAATCTAACTTTTGTTGACATATTATAAGAATGTCTAATCTGTAATTTGATGCCTTTTGGAGATTTTTCCATCTTTCTTTGGCTTCTTTATGCACATTAATACAAATTTTTAGCTGGGGTGCCCAAACTTTCGATCCCCACTGTATACACTTTATCTGTAAGTAAGTAACACTATATATTTTCTCTCTTCTAGGGATCACTATTAATATCACTTATTAACCTCAGTGGTTTTTACCTAGGGGTTAATCCTTTATGTGCTATATATGATTTTTTAATTATTTATCACAGAGCACTATTGATTGTGTCAGCATGGTTTTTGCACTTCAGTGATTTGCACACAGTATGATATAATTATGTATGTCTAGTATTTGATTTTTTATTTATACATAGCGCTTCACTAATTTTTCATATATATGTTACACTTATTGGTTTAAGCTGAGTGGTAGCAGCTATCCAGTTTTCACCATCCATACAGTCAGGTCCATAAATATTGGGACATCGACACAATTCTAACATTTTTGGCTCTATACACCACCACAATGGATTTGAAATGAAACGAACAAGATGTGCTTTAACTGCAGACTGTCAGCTTTAATTTGAGGGTATTTACATCCAAATCAGGTGAACGGTGTAGGAATTACAACAGTTTGCATATGTGCCTCCCACTTGTTAAGGGACCAAAAGTAATGGGACAGAATAATAATCATAAATCAAACTTTCACTTTTTAATACTTGGATGCAAATCCTTTGCTGTCAATTACTGCCTGAAGTCTGGAAAGCATAGACATCACCAGACGCTGGGTTTCATCCCTGGTGATGCTCTGCCAGGCCTCTACTGCAACTGTCTTCAGTTCCTGCTTGTTCTTGGGGCATTTTCCCTTCAGTTTTGTCTTCAGCAAGTGAAATGCATGCTCAATCGGATTCAGGTCAGGTGATTGACTTGGACATTGCATAACATTCCCACTTCTTTCCCTTAAAAAACTCTTTGGTTGCTTTTGCAGTATGTTTTGGGTCATTGTCCATCTGCACTGTGAAGTGGCGTCCAATGAGTTCTGAAGCATTTGGCTGAATATGAGCAGATAATATTGCCCAAAACACTTCAGAATTCATCCTGCTGCTTTTGTCAGCAATCACATAATCAATAAATACAAGAGAACCAGTTCCAATGGCAGCCATACATGCCCACGTCATGACACTACCACCACCAT